ACAGTAGTCCCGGACTGTGTACAGGACTACACTAGTCCTGGACTGTGTACAGGACTACAGTAGTCCCGGACTGTGTACAGGACTACACTAGTCCTGGACTGTGTACAGGACTACACTAGTCCTGGACTGTGTACAGGACTACAGTAGTCCCGGACTGTGTACAGGACTACACTAGTCCTGGACTGTGTACAGGACTACAGTAGTCCCGGACTGTGTACAGGACTACACTAGTCCTGGACTGTGTACAGGACTACACTAGTCCTGGACTGTGTACAGGACTACAGTAGTCCCGGACTGTGTACAGGACTACACTAGTCCTGGACTGTGTACAGGACTACAGTAGTCCCGGACTGTGTACAGGACTACACTAGTCCTGGACTGTGTACAGGACTACACTAGTCCCTGACTGTGTACAGGACTACACTAGTCCTGTACTGTGTACAGGACTACACTAGTCCTGTACTGTGTACAGGACTACAGTAGTCCCGGACTGTGTACAGGACTACACTAGTCCCTGACTGTGTACAGGACTACACTAGTCCTGTACTGTGTACAGGACTACACTAGTCCTGTACTGTGTACCGGACTACACTAGTCCCGGACTTACACGAGGACTAGTGACTTACACGAGGACCGTAAGTGGGGGTACCCGAGCAGCTACCAGAGTGCTCCTTCACCCACTCCACAGTAATACCTTCATATCCTTCATATGTTCACTGTGGGTATTCGCTTTGCTGGATCAACGTTGTATATATATATATATATATATATATATATATATATATATATATATATATATATATATATATATATATATATATATATATATATATATATATATATATATATATATATGTAAAGACTGCATATTGGGTTTTCTCTATTACACAAGTCTTTTTATTCAACATTTCTCTTGTTAGGGTGATGTCATGGGCTTGTCTCATGTGATTCCTGGGGGCACCGGATTGAAGATGACAGGTCAAACGCCTCGCCATCTTGGTCGACGTCATACCTATGTCCTTAGATTGAAGGATACATCCTTCATGGGGTCAAGTGTACATGTTGAGATTTAGTCGATTGAGAATCACCAAATGATTCTCAATCATATCTAACCTAACTTGACCTTGTTAATGTTATCTAAGTAGATAAAACAGGCAGTGTGGTTGGCGTATGAGGTGGTAGTGACTGTTCAGATGGTGTTAACTGAGCAGCGGTCGTCACGTGTCACGTGTCAGGTGTCAGGTGTGAGGTGTCAGGTGTCACAGGAGGTCCAGAGGCCCCAGGAGCGGGCCGGGGCTCAGTCACCAGGCTGCTCACAACTCGAAAATAAAAACAGATCTCAAGTCCTCAAATGAACTCTCATTTCTCGGTTCGTAAAAATCGTCGTCCAGGCCGTTATAAGATGTGCGTGTGTGTGTGTTCGTGCGTGTGCGTGCGTGCGTGCGTGCGTGTGCCTCACACTTTGTCTCTCTGTTTATGTCTCTCTTTGTGTAGTGTCCTCCCCCTCCCCTCCCCCCCACACTTCCTGGGGGGGGGGGGACCTACACATCACTATAATTACAGAGACGCGGAACAAGGCGAAGCTAATTACCGATATTAGGCTAATTACATTTTGGTAGTTACGGTATACCACGACTGAGGGACAGTATACCACGACTGAGGGACAGTATACCACGACTGAGGGACAGTATACCACGACTGAGGGACAGTGTACCACGACTGAGAGACAGTATACCACGACTGAGAGACAGTATACCACGACTGTGGGACAGTATACCTCGACTGAGAGACAGTATACCACGACTGAGAGACAGTATACCACGACTGAGGGACAGTATACCACGACTGAGGGACAGTATACCACGACTGAGGGACAGTATACCACGACTGAGAGACAGTATACCACGACTGAGGGACAGTATACCACGACTGAGGGACAGTATACCACGACTGAGGGACAGTATACCACGACTGAGGGACAGTATACCACGACTGAGAGACAGTATACCACGACTGAGAGACAGTATACCACGACTGAGGGACAGTATATCACGACTGAGAGACAGTATATCACGACTGAGGGACAGTATACCACGACTGAGAGACAGTATACCACGACTGAGAGACAGTATACCTCGACTGAGGGACAGTATACCACAACTGAGAGACAGTATACCACGACTGAGGGACAGTATACCACGACTGAGGGACAGTATACCACGACTGAGGGACAGTATACCACGACTGAGAGACAGTATACCACGACTGAGGGACAGTATACCACGACTAAGAGACAGTATACCACGACTGAGGGACAGTATAACACGACTGAGGGACAGTATACCACGACTGAGAGACAGTATACCACGACTGAGAAACAGTATACCATGACTGAGAGACAGTATACCACGACTGAGGGACAATATACCACGACTGAGAGACAGTATACCACTACTGAGAGACAGTATACCACGACTGAGGTACAGTATACCACGACTGAGGGACAGTATACCACGACTTAGAGACAGTATACCACGACTGAGGGACAGTATACCACGACTGAGGGACAGTATACCACGACAGAGGGACAGTATACCACGACTGAGAGACAGTATACCACGACTGAGAGACAGTATACCACGACTGAGGGACAGTATGGGGTCCACCACCACCCACGGGGATGGGTATGGGGTCCACCACCACCCACGGGGATGGGTATGGGGTCCACCACCACCCACGGGATGGGTATGGGGTCCACCTCCGCCCACGGGATGGGTATGGGGTCCACCACCACCCACGGGATGGGTATGGGGTCCACCACCACCCACGGGATGGGTATGGGGTCCACCACCACCCACGGGATGGGTATGGGGTCCACCACCACCCACGGGATGGGTATGGGGTCCACCACCGCCCACGGGATGGGTATGGGGTCCACCACCACCCACGTGATGGGTATGGGGTCCACCACCACCCACGGGATGGGTATGGGGTCCACCACCACCCACGTGATGGGTATGGGGTCCACCACCGCCCACGGGATGGGTATGGGGTCCACCACCACCCACGTGATGGGTATGGGGCCCACCACCACCCACGGGATGGGTATGGGGTCCACCACCACCCACGTGATGGGTATGGGGTCCACCACCGCCCACGGGATGGGTATGGGGTCCACCACCGCCCACGGGATGGGTATGGGGTCCACCACCACCCACGTGATGGGTATGGGGTCCACCACCACCCACGGGATGGGTATGGGGTCCACCACCGCCCACGGGATGGGTATGGGGTCCACCACCGCCCACGGAATGGATATGGGGTCCACCACCATCCACAGGATGGGTATGGGGTCCACCACCACCCACGGGGATGGGTATGGGGTCCACCACCACCCACGGGATGGGTATGGGGTCCACCACCACCCACGGGATGGGTATGGGGTCCACCACCGCCCACGGGATGGGTATGGGGTCCACCTCCGCCCACGGGATGGGTATGGGGACCACCACCGCCCACGGGATGGGTATGGGGTCCACCTCCGCCCACGGGATGGGTATGGGGACCACCACCGCCCACGGGATGGGTATGGGGTCCACCACCATCCACAGGATGGGTATGGGGTCCACCACCACCCACGGGATGGGTATGGGGTCCACCACCACCACCCACGGGATGGGTATGGGGTCCACCACCACCCACGGGATGGGTATGGGGTCCACCACCACCCACGGGATGGGTATGGGGTCCACCACCACCACCCACGGGATGGGTATGGGGTCCACCACCACCCACGGGATGGGTATGGGGTCCACCACCACCCACAGGAAGGGGGGGGGGTGAATATGACTGCCTCTGGGGTGTGACGCCCGGCGTCCCTGCCCCTCCTGGCTGCTTGTGCTCGGCTAGGGCTGTGATCGGCTAGGGCTATGATCGGCTAGGGCTGTGCTCGGCCAGCGCCATGCTCGGCCAGGGCTGTGCTCGGCCAGAACTGTGCTCGGCCAGGACTGTGCTCGGCCAGGGCTGTGCTCGGCCAGGGCTGTGCTCGGCTAGGGCTGTGCTCGGCCAGCGCCATGCTCGGCCAGGGCTGTGCTCGGCCAGAACTGTGCTCGGCCAGGAGTGTGCTCGGCCAGGGCTGTGCTCGGCTAGGGCTGTGCTCGGCCAGCGCCATGCTCGGCCAGGGCTGTGCTCGGCCAGGTGCGCCAACTAATTGTTGAATATTTTTGCTGTAATTAGACCATCAGTTTTTGTGATTTAATTGGTTCATATTTTGTACATCAGAGCTGTATGCGGCGTCTCTCATGCCCCGGGCCAACAACAACAGTTAAATAGCTCACTTGCAACTAATTCAGGCGTTTAAACCGCGCTAATTATGGAGATGATGAGCAGTGTTCTCTTATAGACGGGCAACTATCAGGATAAAGCGCCAAGCCATTATCTTATGGGAACCAGGTAACGGTATTGTAACCAACGTTAAAAATACAGCCTATTAAGGAAAGTAACGGTTGGGAAAATATTCACGTTTTCTACGCATCGGACTCGATAGGTTAGGTGGGTTGGTTGGGTTGGTTCGGTTCTGGTGAGGTTAAAAGGTTGGATTTCTTACGGAGTGGCAGATGATGGGGAACGTGCTTGAGGATTAGTACCCAGATCCTGATTGGTAGCAATAATCATTGATTATGATTGTGCTATTACGGGAGAATCCTGATTGGTAGGTATGACAGAGGCTCCTGATTGGTAAGTATGACAGAGGCTCCTGATTGGTAGGTATGTATGGTAGGTGGGTGTTGGGTGCTGTGTGCAGGGGCTGTGTGCTGGGGCTGTGTGCTGGGGCTGTGTGCTGGGAGCTGGGTGCTGCTCCCCTGGGTGCTGGGAGCTGGATGCTGGGTGCTCCGTTTCACTGACGTGTGGAACGTGACCCAAACTGTTTACACGCGAACTGTTCAGCTTCGTCTTGCTCACTCCGTAACGAGGCTGTTGTATAGGACTCTGGGATGTGTTCAGGGAGGACCATGGGGCTCTGGGATGTGTTCAGGGGGACCATGGGGCTCTGGGATGTGTTCAGGGGGACCATGGGAGTCTCGGACGTGTTCAGCGGGACCATGGGAGTCTGGGATGTGTTCAGGGGGACCATGGGGCTCTGGGATGTGTTCAGGGGGACCATGGGAGTCTGGGATGTGTTCAGGGGGACCATGGGAGTCTGGGATGTGTTCAGGAGGACCATGGGGCTCTGGGATGTGTTCAGGGGGACCATGGGGCTCTGGGATGTGTTCAGGGGGACCATGGGAGTCTCGGACGTGTTCAGCGGGACCATGGGAGTCTGGGATGTGTTCAGGGGGACCATGGGGCTCTGGGATGTGTTCAGGGGGACCATGGGAGTCTGGGATGTGTTCAGGGGGACCATGGGAGTCTGGGATGTGTTCAGGGGACCATGGGGCTCTGGGATGTGTTCAGGGGGACCATGGGAGTCTGGGATGTGTTCAGGGGGACCATGGGAGTCTGGGATGTGTTCAGGGGGACCATGGGAGTCTGGGATGTGTTCAGCGGGACCATGGGAGTCTGGGATGTGTTCAGGGGGACCATGGGAGTCTTGGATGTGTTCAGGGGGACCATGGGAGTCTGGGATGTGTTCAGGGGGACCATGGGAGTCTGGGATGTGTTCAGGGGGACCATGGGGCTCTGGGATGTGTTCAGGGGGACCATGGGAGTCTGGGATGTGTTCAGGGGGACCATGGGAGTCTGGGATGTGTTCAGGGGGACCATGGGAGTCTGGGATGTGTTCAGGGGGACCATGGGGCTCTGGGATGTGTTCAGGGGGACCATAGGAGTCTGGGATGTGTTCAGGGGGACCATGGGAGTCTGGGATGTGTTCAGGGGGACCATGGGAGTCTGGGATGTGTTCAGGGGGACCATGGGAGTCTGGGATGTGTTCAGGGGGACCATGGGGCTCTGGGATGTGTTCAGGGGGACCATGGGAGTCTGGGATGTGTTCAGGGGGACCATGGGAGTCTGGGATGTGTACAGGGGAACCATGGGAGTCTGGGATGTGTTCAGGGGGACCATGGGGCTCTGGGATGTGTTCAGGGGGACCATGGGAGTCTGGGATGTGTTCAGGGGGACCATGGGAGTCTGGGATGTGTTCAGGGGACCATGGGAGTCTGGGATGTGTTCACGGGGACCATGGAAGTCTGGGATGTGTTCAGCGGGACCATGGGAGTCTGGGATGTGTTCACGGGGACCATGGGAGTCTGGGATGTGTTCAGGGGGACCATGGGAGTTTGGGATGTGTTCAAGGGGACCATGGGAGTCTGGGATGTGTTCAGGGGTACCATGGGAGTCTGGGATGTGTTCAGGGGTGCCATGGGAGTCTGGGATGTGTTCAAGGGGACCATGGGAGTCTGGGATGTGTTCAGGGGGACCATGGGAGTCTGGGATGCGTTCAGGGGGACCATGGGAGTCTGGGATGTGTTCAGGGGGACCATGGGAGTCTGGGATGTGTTCAGGGGGACCATGGGAGTCTGGGATGTGTTCAGGGGGACCATGGGAGTCTGGGATGTGTTCAGGGGGACCATGGGAGTCTGGAATGTGTTCACGGGGACCATGGGAGTCTGGGATGTGTTCAGGGGTACCATGGGAGTCTGGGATGTGTTCAGGGGGACCATGGGAATCTGGGATGTGTTCAGGGGGACCATGGGAGTCTGGGATGTGTTCATGGGTACCATGGGAGTCTGGGATGTGTTCAGGGGGTACCATGGGAGTCTGGGATGTGTTCAGAGGTACCATGGGAGTGGGATGTGTTCAGGGGGACCGTGGGATGTGTTCAGGGGGACCATGGAATGTGTTTAGGGGGACCATGGGAGTCTGGAATGTGTTCACGGGGACCATGGGAGTCTGGAATGTGTTCACGGGGACCATGGGAGTCTGGGATGTGTGCAGGGGAACCATGGGAGTCTGGGATGAGTATATGAGGAGCCGTTAGCATGGGAGGGTGGGAGGGAGGGAATGACCTCAACATCAAGGTAATGGAGCGCACAGAAATTGGCTGTGGTTCCTGGACTATATAATTTTCCTCTACCATGACTGGCATCCGAGGGGTCAGGATCCTCGCCTGGGCGTGGGGTCAGGGTATGGAGGGTGTCAGGGTGTGGAGGGGTCAGGACGTGGAGGGGTCAGGGTGTGGAGGGGTCAGGGTGTGGGGTCAGGGTATGGAGGGGACAGGGTGTGGGGTCAGGGTGTGGAGGGGTCAGGGTGTGGGGTCAGGGTGTGGAGGGGTCAGGGTGTGGGGTCAGGGTATGGAGGGGGTCAGGGTATGGAGGGGACAGGGTGTGGGGTCAGGGTGTGGAGGGGTCAGGGGAAGGGGACATGATGCCACGGGCTTGTAGTTAAGGGAGAAACAGAGTAAGGGGGGGCGGGGGGGATGAGTGCCCTTGTCCTCACACTGTTCAACACCAACAAAGTGTTGCACACTCTTGGGGGCGTCTGAGGAAGACCTTAATACCTCACCGAGTCCGGATACGCTAACCTGGATCAGGATTCCTAAAACATTTACGAAACCTGTACATCTTTTCCGGTTCATTCGTGGCTGTGGTTTAGTTTACATTTATTAAATACATTACAAGCTCCGAAACTTCATAATTCAAGATTATCCAGAATTCAAGGATCGAGAACGGACCGAAACGTCGTCATGAGGATCGAGAACGGACCGAAACGTCGTCATAAGGATCGAGAACGGACCGAAACGTCGTCATAAGGATCGAGAACGGACCAAAACGTCGTCATAAGGATCGAGAACGGACCGAAACGTCGTCATAAGGATCGAGAACGGACCGAAACGTCGTTATAAGGATCGAGAACGGACCGAAACGTCGTCATAAGGATCGAGAACGGACCAAAACGTCGTCATAAGGATCGAGAACGGACCGAAACGTCGTTATAAGGATCGAGAACGGACCGAAACGTCGTTATAAGGATCGAGAACGGACCGAAACGTCGTCATAAGGATCGAGAACGGACCGAAACGTCGTCATAACCATCGAGAACGGACCGAAACGTCATTATAAGGATCGAGAACGGACCGAAACGTCGTTATAAGGATCGAGAACGGACCGAAACGTCGTCATAAGCATCGAGAACGGACCGAAACGCCGTCATGAGGATCCAGAACGGACCGAAACGTCGTCACTTTCAGTACCTTTCATGAGTGGGTTGAGTTGCGTGTGTTCCGCCAGGATACTGAGACATATTCTCAACACATCGTTACATCTTCTACCGCCGCTGAGTGATGCATCACGGATGTTACTGAGGACTTGGAGGAGGCGAGAGTGGCATTACTCCCGCCCCGCCGGCCTCCCCGGACGCCTTATATTAGGCACTCACACTTTTAATATCCACCATCTGGTCACCATTTGGTCCGGGAGACATCTCCCGTCACGCAGAGTGCAGTCGCACCTCCACAGATCTCCAGTATCATCTATTGATAATGGTGATGGCTCAAAAGGGCCACCACTTACGGGCTATTCATGCCCGTGCCACCTTTTGGGTGGCTTCATCTTCTTCTTTTAATATCGACCTTAATCGCCAGGCCGCTGCCCGCGTCTTATTGTTCCCCTCAGAATGACTTTCAAGTGGCCACAAAAATGGCTGTGGCTACTTCGTTTTATACAGTTCAATGCGCAACTTCTCGCGTATCACGTCATCTATTTTGCTGAGCGTGACGCTGGTATGCTGGGGGACACTCCTACAGTTCCAGGGGTGAGACTAAGGCCACGAGTGAGGGGGCGGATATCAAGAGTAATATATCTCCGTGTAGCAATGATGGTTATCTTGAGATCTTGAGATGATTTCGGGGCTTTTTAGTGTCCCCGCGGCCCGGTCCTCGACCAGGCCTCCACCCCCAGGAAGCAGCCCGTGACAGCTGACTAACTCCCAGGTACCTATTTTACTGCTAGGTAACAGGGGCATAGGGTGAAAGAAACTCTGCCCATTGTTTCTCGCCGGCGCCGAGGATGGTGGGTATAGTTCCTGCCTGTCTTGGCCACCTCCTGGCCGGAACCTCGGCTAGGAGGCCTCCTCGTCCGAGGAGACGACCGCCATCTCAAGCAACATAACCAAGTACCAGTCACGTTAAACTCGACGAGAGGAAAAAAAATTAAAATACCTTCCTATAAATTTTGTTTAAAGACTATGCATACCGGGGGGTGGGGGCAGTATATTATTTCTCCATAACGATGTATTGCATATGACAGCCGTGTGTAAACTGCGGCAGCGGGGTTTACACAGCATGTGACTACCGTGGTCGTGAACCCAGACCAAGACAAGTGATATAAATATTTGTGTTGAGACAATAGCCTCGTCGTCGTCCACCCCCGCCGGCCCGCTCCTAGCCTCGGCACCCCCGCCGGCCCGCTCCTAGCCTCGGCACCCCCGCCGGCCCGCTCCTAGCCTCGGCACCCCCGCCGGCCCGCTCCTAGCCTCGGCACCCCCGCCGGCCCGCTCCTAGCCTCGGCACCCCCGCCGGCCCGCTCCTAGCCTCGGCACCCCCGCCGGCCCGCTCCTAGCCTCGGCACCCCCGACAACACTATTTTGTCGGTAATTATTTTTGTTCTGGGAAAAAATGAAATGGGTAAATGAGTTCTTTCCTAGAGGTGACTCCTGGGAGACAGGTGTGGGAAGCCTCTGTGATGCCAGGTGTGGGAAGCCTCTGTCATGCCAGGTGTAGGAAGCCTCTGTGATGCCAGGTGTGGGAAGCCTCTGTCATGCCAGGTGTGGGAAGCCTCTGTCATGCCAGGTGTGGGAAGCCTCTGTCATGCCAGGTGTGGGAAGCCTCTGTGATGCCAGGTGTAGGAAGCCTCTGTCATGCCAGGTGTAGGAAGCCTCTGTCATGCCAGGTGTGGGAAGCCTCTGTGATGCCAGGTGTGGGAAGCCTCTGTGATGCCAGGTGTGGGAAGCCTCTGTCATGCCAGGTGTGGGAAGCCTCTGTGATGCCAGGTGTGGGAAGCCTCTATGATGCCAGGTGTGGGAAGCCTCTGTGATGCCAGGTGTGGGAAGCCTCTGTGATGCCAGGTGTGGGAAGCCTCTGTGATGCCAGGTGTGGGAAGCCTCTGTCATGCCAGGTGTGGGAAGCCTCTGTCATGCCAGATGTGGGAAGCCTCTGTGATGCTAGGTGTGGGAAGCCTCTGTGATGCCAGGTGTGGGAAGCCTCTGTGATGCCAGGTGTGGGAAGCCTCTGTGATGCTAGGTGTGGGAAGCCTCTGTCATGCCAGGTGTGGGAAGCCTCTGTCATGCCAGGTGTGGGAATCTATCATGCCAGGTGTGGGAAGCCTCTGTGATGCTAGGTGTGGGAAGCCTCTGTCATGCCAGGTGTGGGAAGCCTCTGTCATGCCAGGTGTGGGAAGCCTCTGTCATGCCAGGTGTGGGAAGCCTTTGTCATGCCAGGTGTGGGAAGCCTCTGTGATGCCAGGTGTGGGAAGCCTCTGTCATGCCAGGTGTGGGAAGCCTCTGTGATACCAGGTGTGGGAAGCCTCTGTCATGCCAGGTGTGGGAAGCCTCTGTGATGCCAGGTGTGTTAAGCCTCTGTCATGCCAGGTGTGGGAAGCCTCTGTCATGCCAGGTGTGGGAAGCCTCTGTGATGCCAGGTGTAGGAAGCCTCTGTCATGCCAGGTGTAGGAAGCCTCTGTCATGCCAGGTGTAGGAAGCCTCTGTTATGCCAGATGTAGGAAGCCTCTGTCATGCCAGGTGTGGGAAGCCTCTGTCATGCCAGGTGTAGGAAGCCTCTGTCATGCCAGGTGTAGGAAGCCTCTGTGATGCCAGGTGTAGGAAGCCTCTATGATGCCAGGTGTGGGAAGCCTCTGTGATGCCAGGTGTGGGAAGCCTCTGTGATGCCAGGTGTGGGAAGCCTCTGTCATGCCAGGTGTGGGAAGCCTCTGGCATGACAGGTGTGGGAAACCTCTGTCATGCCAGGTGTAGGAAGCCTCTATGATGCCAGGTGTGGGAAGCCTCCGTCATGCCAGGTGTGGGAAGCCTCTGTGATGCCAGGTGTGGGAAGCCTCTGTGTTACTCTGGAGGGGCCTCGTAGCCTGGTGGATAGCGCGCAGGACTCGTAATTCTGTGGCGCGGGTTCGATTCCCGCACGAGGCAGAAACAAATGGGCAAAGTTTCTTTCACCCTGAATGTCCCTGTTACCTAGCAGTAAATAGGTACCTGGGAGTTAGTCAGCTGTCACGGGCTGCTTCCTGGGGGTGGAGGCCTGGTCGAGGACCGGGCCGCGGGGACACTAAAGCCCCGAAATCATCTCAAGATAACCTCAAGAAGATAACCTCTGAGTGGAGAATGGCTTAACATGGTCAGTTGTCGTATTTTATAGTAATATCTATATAAAAGTGGATGCCTGTTTGTTTGTTTCTGTTTGGTGGAGGCCAGACGTGAGGAGATAGTCTCGCCAAACTCTGCAGGGTGACTGGTGGGGCGGGAGGGATGGTCATAGACGAGTCGGGCGGCCATCAAGTTGGTGGAGATGAAATGGTGGTTGTCGAATCCACACACTTTCAATATTTATATAATATTTATAATATTTATCATCCTCGAAGTTTAAACCGCTTCCTCGACGTCGAAGTGAAGTTTGGACACTCTTCTTGGGCGACGAAGCGAAGTCTGGACACTCTTCTTGGGCGTCGAAGCGAAGTCTGGACACTCTTCTTGGACGTCGAAGCGAAGTTTGGACACTCTTCTTGGACGTCGAAGCGAAGTTTGGACAC